GAAACTTCTTCTCAGTGAGGGTGACGGAACACTGGAACAGGCTGCCCAGGGAGGTTGTGGAGTCTCCTTCCCTGGAGACATTCAAAACCCGCCTGGACACATTCCTGTGTAACATTATCTAGGTGTTCCTGCTCCGGCAGGGGGATTGGACTAGATGATCTTTCGAGGTCCCTTCCAATCTCTAGCATACTGTGATACTGTGATACTTTGGCTCTTTAGAGGGTTTTAAAATACTTTAATTGAACTGAATTGATTTGGCAGGTCTGTTGACTTTATGTAGACACTGAATAGCATTGTGGAATAGTATTAAATGTGCCATTTTTCTTCACTTTACAGCTGAGTGAAGTAAGTGGAATACTCCTAGAAAACATAGAATTTGCAAAGGTATGTAAGATTTTGCCTATTATTACCTTTTAATAGTATGGATGTGCGATTATGAGTTTTATTCACTGAGTAATTGCTGCTTCTCAGGGTAGAGGAACATTTCCATGTGACATCTCCATACTGGAGATTCACCAGGACTTGGACTGGAATCCTAAAGTATCTACATTGAATGTCTGGCCTTTGTACATTTGTGATGATGGTGCAGTAATATTTTATAGGTACGTATTTTATTACAGTGTATGTGTAACAGTGCAAAGCATCTGTGTATAAGATTTGAGGGGTGAGGTAATCAGCAGAAGCATAGAAGTACTTTTCTATTGTCTTAAAGGAAAGAGATTTTAAAACATTGAGCTGAAATGTTTGTGCTCCTCAGCTTCCTAAACCCCTGAATATTTTATTGTTTAAGAAAACAAACATTGCATTCTTTTACTCAATCCTCATTCCCAAACCACTGAAAATAATGCTGAATGCAAAACCAGTCACTATATTTGACTGTTTATCTGGATTTAATCTCTTCAGGTAGACCCATACCCTTGTGGAGTCTGTGACGGTCTTGGCTATAGGTTTTAGAGAGCAAGGATTTTATTTTCCGAGTTGATTTCTTTTGAGAAATTAGTATGGCGTCTTTGGGAAAACGGATGTTACAATAGAAATGTTAACATGAGAATTGTTCCATCACCTGGTGGCAGTAGCGCAAAGGTGGTGTTAAAGAACTAAGAGCTTGAGTATTGTCCCTTCTGCCAGACTTGGTGAGTGGGGCAGCCTCATGAACATGTTGCTGCTACAGTATTTTTCATTACAGTGAGCTTGAAGGAAACAGCTGGCCTTGAAGAAAACGAAACTACTAGGGAGAGCAGCTGGTAGTTTCTCTTCAGGGCTGGCTGACATGCTGCTTCCAGCTGTTGCTGCTGTGACCATATAAAGAGCAGAGTCGTAGTTGTCTGTGAAGAATAAGAGTTACTGGGTAGATTGAAGAATGTAAGCTTGAGTCTTGCTGCTTCCCCCCAGGACTGCTGTCAGAATACAGAATGTCTCTGTTAGAAAAGCAGGTTTAGCCGGATCATTAGTTTCTGGAGAAAAAAAATAATCCATAAGTAGTATTTTATGTATAGTTGCGGTTTTTACAAAGTTGCTCCAAATGCAACAATTACAGAAATTTAATTGTGGTTATGGTATTCATCTGAATTTTTACGTATTTATATTTTAGGGATAAAACTGAAGAATTAATGGAATTAACAGATGAGCAGAGAAATGAGCTGATGAAAAAGGAAAGCAGCAGACTCCAGAAAACTGGACACCGTGTAACCTACTCTCCTCGTAAGGAAAAAGCACTAAAAATTTATCTGGATGGAGCACCAAATAAAGACTTGACTCAAGACTGATACTCGCTATAGCATTTTCCGTGGGGAATCTTTTTTTTTAAATCAAAAGGTTCACTACTACTGTGTAGTGCCGTTATGGCAGGACATTCATTAGGTGTAAAGCGCTGACACCAGCACTGATTGGGCTGTGCTACCAATCAGAAGCGCAGTGCCCCGTTGGGTCGCTGCTTGACTTGGAATCATGTTGTGCACTATAGTCAAATGTACTGTAAAGCTAAAAGGGATGTGCAAATAAACGATTAGAACTCAAAAGTGGGTGGGGAGGGAAACGAGTGGAAGTTCTTGAGGACAGTGTGCACATAGTAGCTAGTTGAACTAGCCTCAAACAGGATACTCAGCTTAATAAAAGCTGTGCAAAGGCCATGAAAGAATCCTTTTTTCTGTTTGTTCCACTGACACACACATTACCTCATCAGAGAGTCCGCAGTAAATGTTAACACATTGGTTCTGGGGAAGAGGTAGCACACGGTCAAAGGTGAAATGGAAGTGCTGCATGTGTGAGCTTTCAGAATGTTCTTCCACAAAAGAGGCAGTCAGAGGGGTGTGGGCAGAAAGCTGGCAGCAGACCTTGGGTCTGAAGTGCTGTCGTAAGGTAAACTGCATTTTAATAGGTTACAGAGGCCAGCGAGCAGATCTGCTATATTGCATTCAATGTGTAAATACCATTTGCCCTATCCATTTACCAGACCTGCGGTTCAGCTATTTACCATGGTGTTTCTTTTCACATATCAACATTCATTGTGTACATTTGGAAGTATAGTTGCCTATTTAAAATTGTATTCATTTTATGTTTGATGATGCTGGGTACTTCAGGGTTGTATTTCCCCTTGTTAATGAAGTTTGTGTTTTGTTCAGCTCCTTTTTGTACATTTTGGTTTTGAGACTATTACAAGTTTGCATCTTCTCCACACACTGAAAGTCATTTTCTTTTCCCCAGTTGATTCTGTAGTGCTATGTAGTCAAATATTGGAGCAACCTCTAACACCTCAACATACAAACTTGGTAGTTAAGGTTGTGGTGCAAAGACTGATGCAGTCAACATGATTTCATTGCAAAGCCTAGGAACAGCAATTTTTTGCTTTGGTCCATAAAGATCAATAGAGAACAATTCTCTGTAGTTTTTGGAAAACCACCTAATTTATAACAATCAAAAGATTTTGGTAAAGTTTTTCATGCCACATGCTGTTTACAACAGTGAACATGCCAATAAAACATTTGTTCATTCTGTTGTGTTATTTTAATCATTAAATGCTGTGAGCTTTATTTGGAAAATTACTGAATTATTTCATGGAAACACAAACTTTCCCAAGGCAATGTCAGAATCACAAGACTCTGTGTATCTGTGTGTGTATGTGCACACACCCCTATGTGTGTACTCGGTGAGTGGTTTGTAGCCTGTCTGCTGCTCCTCTTTACTTTGATTCACTGTTGCTTCAACTGTAAGTTTCCTTTTCCAGAATTGAATTCCTCACTTGAATTCACTTCCTTAGAAGTGAAATTTCTAAATTCCAGATTTGATTGGCAGCTAAGTTCTGCTCCAGAGGAATAAGGGCTTTCACTAACAAAGTTCAGTTCTTCCATCCATACTGACCCAGATCAGCCTGTAGCTCCTGACAAGTCTGGTAGCTTAAGAACCAGGCACTGCACAGAGGAATTCCCTCATTCTTCCCCTTCTTTTAAACTTGTGCCATCTCTTGTCCAACGTGGATGGGGGTGGAAGCAGGAGCAAAGGAAGCATAGAGTACTATCCAGTAAGTAGAGCACTGCATGAAATTGCTGTTTACATGTGTATGCAGACTGTACTAGACCCTTGGAGGTTTTAGAAGAGGAAAAACTGAACTATCAAATGGGTCATGAAATTTCTCCAGATGTTTGGAAAGCCAAAAATCTAGAGGTGGAATAAAGTAGGGGTGAGAGAAGAATTCCAAAAGCTTGCTTAATCTCTAGCCCAATTTGGGAAACTTCCATTGAGAACATCTTCAAAGAAGTTAATTTTATATCTTGCCAGGCTTGTCAGAAATCTGGATAGAGGACAAGGGGGGGAGGGGGGCATCTTTGTAAGGATTTCTTGTCTGGTGGTGCACTTCCAGTGTAGAGGTGTTCCAGGAGACATTCTGATTATTTTAAATATTTTTGAGTTAGACCATGGGCATTTTAAAGAAACAAAAAGCTTCATGTCTCTTAATATACTTAGTTCAGCTGAAGTCTCACTGAACTTCTGATGAGTACTAACACTTTACCTTCCAAGGATTGAGGTGTCAAGAATCTTGAAGGGAGACTGATGCTATCGTTACATTGGGCAGTATTTACAGACACTTACTGTGTTCATTAAGTATTTTTAACAGGAGAATTGCAATAACAGTTAATGAATTTATATCCACACTCTCAAATACGGTAAGTAGTGATGGAGTCGGCAGATCCTTTAATCAGTGTACGTAAAGGTGTTTGTGTAATGCAGAATGATGCCGTATGTGGTACTGTATTCAGCTCTAGCTTGGGCACAGACTGGTAACTGCAGCTGTGCCATTCTCATGTGTTGACACTCCACATACTCAGTGTACAACAGAGAATCTGTTGGTTCTGTAAGTTTAGACAGTATATTTTGCCCTTGAGAGAGCCCTGAACAGTCACATCTGAAGTTCCTACATAGAAACCAAACATGGTATGAATATAAGAATGTACACGCTATTAGTTATTTATATGAAAAATGTAGGGTTTTTTTTGTTAGTGCGCCCCTTAGCTAGTGGGAAGGCCAACAACCATTCTGTGTGAAAGTATAAAACCCAAGGGATGCTCTAGCTGTGGAACACCAGTTCTGAAGTTACACTGCAGGCTGCTGCAGGACAGATGGCATCCACTGTACACAGCTGAACAGCAGCTCTGGGTATATTAATCTAAAAGGGTAAGCGTCCTTTCTTTCTTCTACCCTTACAATGTGTGTATGGTGGGGGGGACATGACATGGAGAATCTGCACTTTGCAGCTTCACTGACTGTATTTTCTAAAGAAAAAATAAACCCACAAAACTTTGCTTAAAATCAGTCTCCAAAGTAGACAGTTCTTACCCTGGGGAAACAAAAAAAATCCAACAAATTAACATTCTAAACATACATACTTAAAGGTTGCTCCTACAGTCACTAATGTCTTAACGATTATTGATGCTGAAGTGTGTTTTTTAATGAGTACAAGTGCTGATAAGTTTACGGGAAAAGTACTAACCCAGAAGAAACACTGATATAGTTCTTATTTGTCTTTGACAGCAGGCTTGGTCCAGGGATTGAGTGAATTCAACAAGCATTTGAACATGCAGGTTTGGTGCACAGAAAAGGGTGCTCACTGAAGACATTGTTTATTACACTTCTATCCAGTGGTATGTGTTTAGGATTTATATAAGCAAGACACTAGACAAAAATCTCTAGAAATAACTACCTAACTGTCTGGTGTTTGAACTTTCAAATTTCATCTCCCAGGAACAGCTCACGAGCTGAGTCAGGCTCAGGCTTCAAACCTGCTTTGTCCTCCAGACTTTCTAATTCTTTACGCACTTCCTGAATGATGCTGCTTTCTTCATAATCGGAAAGACTCTCTCTGGGTATCAAGCTGAGGAATGGCATCTCATCCATGATTAAGGGCTTTTCTTTTTCATTATCCCTGGTTTCATTGGCAAAGTGTTCACACACAGATGTAGTGCTCTGGCTGTTGGAAAGAGACATCTGGTCACGTACTACATCTTTTAATGTTCTTTTGCTAATTCCTCAATAAAATTCTTCGTTCCCTCCCCACATGAAAGCATGTTAAATGTGCAATGCTGTCCGGTCTACCATAGCTGACTTGATAAACGACTGATTTTTATATGCTTGACAGCTGGAGGGTTAAGGATGGGATTTCCACACACAGAGCTAGAACAAAGGTTCTAATAGGCACAGATGTTTGATGCTGGGACACAAGATGGCAGTGGCCCTCAGCACAACCTGGCTCTTCTGCCTACAAGTGCTCCTGGTGACTAGGGCTTTCTGTTCACATCACAATAACAAGTTAAGAAACATGACACTCCAGCTTTAAAGGAATGCCGAAAAAAATACTGCTTTCTATCAAGCTGTAGAGTTGAGCATTACGTATTTGGTTCTGAACAGAATACTGTAATAGCTAAATTTGCTGCTGCCTTTGTTTTGAAAAGTGGCTTCGGTTGCCTGCAAACAAATACCCCACGCTGTTGTAGGAAGTTTGGTAAAAGGAAAGTTTGAAGAATGTTTTATATTTGTTGATAGGAGGTGAGGGAGCAGAACTTGATCATGGTATCCGCTGTGTCTCTGTGCTGTTAGCAGTTCCCTGTGATAGGGCAAGGAGACCACTGCTAGGTCTAGCCCCCCTTTATAGCTGCTTAAAGCAGCACCCTCCTTCACTGGAAACAAAGGGTGAATGAGCTAAAGATGTTCCTGGAGCTTATTTTGTGTGCATTTAATTCTTGTATGTTTTGCTTCCTATGCGCTTTAGTACGTCCAGTTTTGGGCAGGCTAACCCTGTATTCGCTAAGATAGAATCTCATGGTTTCAGTGTTTAGCACTCACTAGTAATATTTAGCCAAGGGCCATTTCAAGCAGAGATGGGCTGCCTCTTTAAAAAAATCTGAATCTTCAAATTCACCATGGAAACTCCCAGAAGCAGCTTTATCTTTCTGACCATGTGAGTCTTGTGCATGTATGCACAGTATTTCTGTGTTTGTGATAGTCCTAAAGAGGTAAGTAATTTTTGTGACTGTAGCTGGATAGTTATAATCACACCCCAATTCATTTCTGTGTTTCTCTATCCCTATCAAAACCGTTCTCCTTCTTGAGAAAAGCTGCCAGAACATTTTCTAATGAGGAAGAATCTTCAAGTTCTGTATCTGTTTACCACAGAAAGAGCCCCCCTCAAAACATTCAAGCAGCTTGCTTGTCCGCTTTTGCTCTTTACCTCTGAGGTTGGCAGCTCAAGCCACTTGCACATGGGCACTGCTCAAGTACTCCATCGGGTTCCAGTTCCCAGGTAATCAGATTGAGAAGTCTGTTTGAAGGATCGTGGCAGGGCTCACCTTCTTCAGGTAATGGAGTGCACACAGGAAACAGTAGATCTGCATAAAAACAGAATAGCCGGGGTTGGAAAGGACCTTAAGATCATCTAGTTGCAATCCCCTGCCATGGGCAGGGACACCTCACAGTAGACTGGCACCCAAGGCTCTGTCCAGCCTGGTCTTGAACACTGCCAGGAATGGGGCATTTATCACTTCTGCATGCCACAGTAAATTAATTTTAAGAGAAATGCTTAACTCTCTGCTAAACTGAAATGACCTGATCTTTAAGTCTATATACACAATATAAAAAGACAGACTTGATCACTTTTTAAGTCCTTTTACGTATGAAGGAGCCATAACAATGTTCTTTCCACTAGGTGGGAGTAAGAGAGTGGAAATTTATGCTTAATGAGCAAGATCAACTTCTGCTGCTTCAGGAAGAGACTGCTGTCAACACAGTAGTACTGCACAACCCCATCCCTTGGAGATCTGCAAGACTATGCTAAAACTAACAAAACTAACATTACAGTTAGTTGTTTACAACACATAGGATTGATGGCTTAAAACCTGAATAGGGAAATATCAGTGTTTTGGAACTCTTTATTTTTCTTATTTCTTTGCAGTGGTACAAATACAGAGCACTCGTTAAGAGACTAAATGAGGTTACAAGAACTACTACTCCGTATTTAATTTGTTGTAGTCACTCTGCAATAAGCAAAGCTGCCTGATGGCATTGGGGACTTGGTAACTTTGTTTCTGTACAGGTGTCAATTTCAGCCTGTGTAACAAAATGTTATGCCTTTTGTGTTTCCTGATGCTAGCAACTTACAGTGTCGATCTTGAATCCAGCTCTTCCAGATGTTCCTATCAAAGCTCCCTTCCTCCTCTTGGCTTCATTCACCTCATATTTTGTGGTATGGCAGAATAAAATATGTGAAGAGTTAAGAATTTATGTTTTATAAACAGCCTTGGTCAAAATACGTATGTGTGTGTGTACACAGACATGTACTTTAATGGATATGACTTATCAGTTCCTAATGCTGAAACAGATTATCTTCAGCAGTGAATGCTCCGAAGTTCACTACAGTTTTATATAAAAAATATCCTCCAATATTTATGACAAACTTTTGCAATACTCTAATGATAAAGGCCTAACCTGAAAAGCCCTAAAGCATTGCTACATCAGACAAGCACAGAATAAAAATCCGTTGCTATTTAAAGTTTTAACAGTTGTGTTCCACAACTCTAGTCACTATGCCTATCTATTGTATTGTTTGTTCCTGAGTTAGTTTGCACTAAATTTCATTTCAAGCCAAACACTAACTTACACTCACTGTGATTGTCTTATGCAGTTGAAATAATCATCATGAAGACACAGTTTGGTCGGAGCCCATAGGAAATCAAGGCTACAGCAGCAGTACTACCCTCACAGTAGACAGCCTAGTGCTACTACCACCAGTGGGACGCATATTAGTGATTTACTCATCTCTGCAGCATAAGCAGATACAAAGCACTGTGTGGTGAAAGTAATAGGCTATATTAAAAGTGCCCTTTCTGTCTCATTTTGGAATCGCAGTACAATGAAATCTCTGATACAGGCTGGAAAAACCTGTAAATGCTTTAGGCAGAAATCTAATAAAGTGAAAATAAAACTGTTCTCACCAAACATTGAATTTATCATTGAAGGTCTACCATAATGTTCAAAACCTGTAAGTGCTTTAGGCAGAAACTTGATGCAGGGCTGGGGTAACCCTCCTCTAGCAGAGCCAGATAAACAGCATCTAGAGAAATAGCTACCTGTGTGGAAAGATGGTTGGAATTGTATCCTATCACTGCAAAACTAAGGTGAACTATGATAAAAACTACAAGGAACTAGTGGGTATAAAAGAGTAGAAGAAGCTGGGCCCTGACCAGACAGGATTTTTGGGACTGATTTCAGGCCTGATATCTTCTCCTCCTGTCCTACCTTCTGTAAATCAAGTTTCACATTTCCATGTGGACTGACAACATAATCTGGAATGTAATTCCTCTATGTATCTTGGCTGTCTGGTCAGTACTGCATAACATGGTGCCCTGGAAGGCTGTCATAAAACTCAGAGTGTGAAATGTATCTGCAATGCGACTCTGATGGTCTGCTTGCTGAGAGAAGGGAGAAGCCACATTCAGTAATCTCATTAATTTCTTTTGTACATTTTTCGTTCTCTTACTTCTGTTCTACGGGGTGAAAATTTGATGCTGAGCTCTGCTACTTTTAAATGTGTGAGACTTTCCTTTAGAAAGAGTAGATTTTTGAGCTTCTCATGCTGGTGTCATCTCTAGCACGCAACAGGCTTTTCTTTGACTACTGTGAACCTCTGTCAGACTTTTCTCACTCCTAATTCAATTGAAATTTTATAATGAAGTTACCAAGGTGTGCTTCACAGGCCGAGGCAGAATGACGTGCTGATTCTGTAGTGATTTAGCCACTTGAACTAAATATAAATACTCCCAACTCCTGTATGATAAAATGAATAGGATAAAAAGCAAACCTCTGTACCTTTCTGAAAAGCACAGCATGTTCCAGGGTTGCAGTCGTGCTGGTTCTCACAAATGGTGCCATTCTCTCCTTTTGAAATGGATTTCCTGCACTCACCCCAAACGCAAAGCTGGTCTCCACAGCATTCAACATCCCGTGAGCAGTGCTTGCAAACGGAAAAAGCACAGGACAAAACTGTCTCTCTAGCAGTAATTGCACATATCAACAGAGAGCTAAGCATACAACTAGATCTGGTCCTGAAGACAACCGCATATATGCGGTTTACAAGTATGTGTGTCATGTTCCCACTTTTTAAACCAAACTGCTTTAGATTCTCAGCTTCAAGCAAACATAGAACTAGTTGCCAGACAGGAAACTCCACAGCAGAGTAACAGCATTCCTCCTATACTATTGTACTTCCAATCTTACAAAACCTGAATTCTTATTTTAGCATTTATATAAAAATGGATCAGCAGTCAGACATCCTAAATTGTAATACGGATTTTAAGGCAGCCTTTTGCAATCAAGGGAAGTAGAAATTAACAAATAAAATGCTGTCAATGAAAACATTACTGATTTTTTTGTTTGATTTTCATTGTTAAATGCAGTCAGGAATTTACAGTTTGCTCAGAAGGATGATTTCAAAGAGCAAAGAAAAAAAACCTTACTAAAAGCCATCTTCAGTTATAAGAACCAGGCCTCATCTGGAAGCAAGAATCTTTGACAAAAAATCTCCGAAAAAATTATCTTTGATAATCAGAAGTGCAAATCTAGCTAGAGCCAGCTGTGTATGGTAACTGTCCCCCTGCTTCAATAACTGTCCCCCTGCTTCAACTATACACACCTAATAACCCAACCTAATGCAAACAGGGTGTCACTTTGTTTCTCTCTTTTAGGTGGGTTGATTAACATCTTGGATTCACAATAGGTCAGCGTTTTAACAGCTGTTTTCCGTCTGTGTGAAGCCCTGTCTGGGCAGCCATCCAAAATCAGAATTTCTTGCCCAGTGGATCCCACAGGAAGTGCTGAACACAGGGCATGGAGAGGGACTACACTAGCACGAGTAAGACCTGCTAGTTAAAATTAAAAATGTTTTGCAATTGTGGGGGTTCTAGGTCAGGGAATTGGTCCCAGCACCTTCAGTCTGAGCTCACTTTACAGCAGGAGTGTAGCTAGGACCCAATTTTTACTTTCTTTATCCTACACATCTTCTTCTGAGGGCTGCAAAAAGAAGGAGGGGGGGGGGTAGGTGTTAGGTCACCCCAATGTTGATTTTTCACTATTCCATGTTAACATGAAAAATTATCCATTTAACATTTTCTAAAATATGAAGAATAAGCTTTCTTAATGACACTTCAGCATATACTCAGGACTTGTGTTTAAGCAAGCATTCTGTCCACTGAAGTCAACAGAGCTCCCTGAAGTTACGAAGTATTTCAATCATTTCAGGAACAGCCTGGTGCTTTTAGATTATAATAATCCTATTGATTACATGACTACAGCAAGGCTTGCTTGCTTGTAGACTTAACTGTCTGTAAATGCTCTGAGGAATGAATTTGTTTCACAAGAAGCTGTCAGCAGAACTTAGATGAAAAGGGACAGTCAGATAAAAGCCCTTTTTCAACAGACTGCTCTTAAACTGGATCTTCACCACAGAAAAAGCCTGAACTTCTCAGGTACCTGTGACTCACGGGAGGTAACCTAAGCATAGCTACTACCAAGAACATTTAGCTCAAAAGACAGGAATTTACTGCTTCCTGATGTTCAGAGATTCAAACAATGTAAATGACCCATGTGAGAGGATCACTTCTGGTGACAACTGCGCTACAGCACTGTACAAGTGAAGAGCACTCACTGCTGCAACTCTATGTGAACCACGAGCTGGAAACCTACTGTCAGCTGAGCCTTAGGAGCTGGCACAGCATTTCATCTTTGCCTGTTTCACCGGCAACCTACAGTGTGTTAGTTTACACTGTACTTAGGCCACCTAACAAGTCAAGCTTGAGTCAGGAGGAGTAGAGTGCAGGTTTTGAAGCGTGTGAGAACAGAAACCTTAAAACTTAGTTGTTGTATTAACAGACAGGAACACCAAAACACCCTCCCCCCAAAAAAACTGACAACCCAGCCCAATCTGCTCTACACACCCATTTTTAACCTCATGCAAAAAGCTTTGCAGATTCTTTTCTACTAATTTTGACTTGCTGACATTAACAGTAACTTCTATATTGAGTTTCTAAAGACCACAGAAAATCGCATCTCATTCAGGACTTACTGTATGCTGGGTTTTACAGAGCTGACATTTGTACTCAAAGGTGGAGAACTGGCAGTATTTCCCTGTTTCACAGTCTTCATCAATGATGCACTCCTGAGGAAAAATATGAAAGTAATTTGCCACTGTGTGACAGAAATCCATACCTCTTGAAATATCAGGTGGTCTGGAATTGTATTTCTTATTTAGGAACCAAGACAAGAAGCTTGCTTTGTTTCTTCATACAGCTACAGCTCTGAAATAGCACAATGCCATGTCCATGGTGTACCTAAATACTGCGGCCCCAGATTGCTGGATAGGTTGACTTCTGGTATTAGTATCAAAAACCTCAAGAAAACAAATCTTGCTCTGCACACTCTTGGGAGAGGAGGGCGGCTGAAGACATTTGTATTAAATTTATTCAAATTGCATTAGAGTACAGTTGTGATTCATTATTTGCTGGCTGTTTTTTCCAGATGGGGGCAAGACCAAAGGAAAGAGGATGCGCTACAGCAGCTGCAGCAGCCAAGAGTATCTTTATGCTCTGTGGGAGACCATTTTGAAACAGCTTTCTAGATCCCAGGCCAGGTAGCTGTATGCTGTCCTCCCTCTTCTTCCCCAGCAACGTCAGTGCCAACCACAGAAACACTGCAGCATGGTTAGCTTCCCTAAGCCAGCAAGGACAACCCTAAGGGAGAAGGGAAATGTGTTTCCTTTTAACTGCTCCCCTTTGCAAGTGGCAGACAAGTCTTTCTTGGGCAATATTTGCCGTGCGATTTTTTTGTGAGCAGTAACTTCTATGCTGAAAAATGCAGTGCTGCTTTCCGCAGGACTGGTAACATTAAATGTCCCTGGGACTTGATGGTAACTGCAGCACTACCTTACAGCAAGTACCTCAGGAAAGCAGTAGAGGTCATACACCATTAGATTTCCTTTCCTTGGCTGATGGTATGTCTCTCGTGTACCTATCATCATAGCCCATTACCTGCGAGATCACAGCTGCAAATGTCTAAATACCAACACATGTAAATTTTAAATCCTTTTTAAATATAATTTGGATATTGCAAAATATGCAGGAGGAGATTCTCTGTTGACATCATTCCTCTGGCATCATCCTGCTGCCGATGGAGTTAATGTTCACTTAGTAATGTTCTGGACTGTCGAAGAACATGGTATTTCTACATTGCATGCCCTTGAGGTGCATGTAACAAACTCACTGTTTCCTCCCTCCTTGTTTGCTGCATGAGTGTTCACCAGACAGGTTTGAACACTAAGATTGACAAGTGCTGGAGAGCCAGATGCATCCTAGGGGAAAAAAGAAGGCCCATAGTTCTCCTTAGTGTATCAGCCTTTGTCCCATGTCTATGACACCAGGGCAGGCCTCAGCTTCGCAAGGTCTTTGAGCACATATTTAGCTTTTCAAACCTGGAATCCTTTCATGGCTCTAACAAAAATATTCATGTGAGAGTGACACCTGAGATCCTGTCAGAATCACAAACTCGGACTGAAGTTTCTTCACCCAAAGGTCCCACAAGCACCATGGTAGAGGTGGCTCATCTTTTATTCATGCTGCACAGGGTGAACAAACTGGTCAGGATTTCGCAGGCATGGCAGTGAAGATAATACAGAGAATAAGTGTATACATTTGCACGTCCCTGATGCGTCTGGCTCACAGCAAGGGGTGGTGTGAACGCATCTAATGGTTACCTCTTGAAATATGTGATTAAACCTGTTCTCTAAAAAGTGTTTTCTCCAGGCTGCAAACAATCTAGTCAACAGAAGAATAAATCATAGCACTGTTCTGAGTCACTTGTACTCCATCACTGGTTTGTACCACCATAAGGTTGATGCTGTCTTTTTGCTATTGGTCAATTAAAAAAGAAGGAATTATACCAGAAATTTGTGAATTCTCTGAAGAGATCACTTGACTGCTCCTTGGCAGATATTAACCGCATTTGCTGCAGCAGATCAACTGTCATTTGTGCAACCTTTATAAAAAGTTTCCACTAAGCTTTTAATCTTCCCTTTCTACTTTCTCAGATCACTTCTCCCCGAAGTGCTGACTTCTTCCACACCACCACAGTTGGGGTTTGTGCTTCAGCTGCGCTGAAGACCAGGTCAGTAAGAAGTTTAAGTAAAGCTCTTAAATTACTGTTATCTATACTGTCTTCATATCTTCTCCACATTAAACCTTATGGAAGCTTCTTGCCCTGTGTGAGACAAGGCTGCTCTGCATGAAGAGCAGTGTCTTAAGTTACCCATTTTGGCTACCTGAAATGTTTTCAAAGTTTGATTACCCAGAACACAGAACAGAAGCCAAACACAGTCAGTGGCCGGATTATTTTCAAGTCAGTGACACAATATCCAGGTTATATGTTTATAAAGAAGAAGCAGTCATTTCAGCTATTTTAAGACAGTACCACCAGGTCTAGGCTGCTATAAATTACCAGAATGCTTTTAAAACTTCATTATTCCAGCACAGTGCATATTCTGCTTGTTTGCTTTTGTGTTGCTACATAATCAGGTGGGTCAATATCCCAGTGTTATACAGTATGTTCTAGGCTTTTTAGTTCCAAGTTAGCAGTGAGCCGCTTCTCTTCAGCAGCCATGCTCTTTCTGGCCCATTTTCTGCTGCAGCTTTGTCAGCTTCTTTTATGGATCCCTCTGTATAAACCATACTCAACATAAACTATACTGTTTCATCCCTGTTCCATCTACTTTCAGGCAAACAGCCAGCTCTCACTGTACTCAGTTTTTCCAACTGTCCCTCTCCACAAAGGAGAAATCTTGCCCCAGTTGTTTTTAAGCTCATGGAATAACTCCCTCTCTAGCTATAAAACCACCTAACACCAAAGTTGTAATTCTCCAGTCACTGCCTTCTCCCGCACTAATGAGTTGCCTGCCAAGAAAGTTCTTTTTCCCCTCTTACTGAATTGTGTCCCACCAGTTCAGACTTCCAGTTTTATGAGGCTTTTCAGTTGAGGGAAAAATCCTTTCACAGTTTTCTTTCCTGGCATGGAAAAAGCTTGCTTTCGTGTGCTCTTCGTGAAATTTTGTGCCACACTTCACGCCAGCTTCCTTCACCCAGGAATTATAATCTGTAGTCAATGCAGAACTCGGTAATGCTTACACATGCAGATGTGTGACTGTTTATCTTTTCTTTCTTTTTAAGATTTATATTTATTTATTTAATCAAGCCACAGACCTGTTCTAATCAGGCTACCTTGAGACAGAACAGTTGCCAGACCAGGAGCAAACCTAAACATCTTCATGAGCTGCAATAGATCCTGAACAATCCATTTTTTTCTGGAGCTCTGCACATTAGGTTATTTCTCAGAATATTATGTCTTTGCAGGAGCAACTGTGTAAACTGGGGCTGCTGTTTTCTGACATGCAGGAGAGCAGATGCTGGCTTCTGACATGCAGCAGAGCATACAAGTTGAGCAGATAGCTTAAAGACAGAATTAGCTACACTTACAATGGTATACATCTCTCTGAAATCCATTATGATGTTATACCAGTCAATGTAGCAGCAAAGAAATATGCTGTGTGAGAAGTGCTAAAGAATAATGCAAAGTGAAAGTAGGATTCCCTGTTTACTAATGGGTACACTAGGACCCGTGAACAACAGAAACCGGGATGGAGAAGAGCATGCTATGTACCTGTAAGTACATACTCAGCATCCTGTGGGCTCTTACTATACAGTATTGTACTCTGTAGTGCAACACTTAAAATCAATTCAGAGGTTGAATCTGTTCCAAAACCAGCAGGGAAAAAAGTACCCAACAAAACCCTGAAACTTCATGAAAAAGGTTCCATGACGACTGTATTATAAGACTGCTAAACCAATTACTGCTGAAAGAAACACCAGTTTTCCTGTCTTTGGCCGATTATGCCAAGCTTTTCTTTGCTTTCCTAAAGAATGGTTAATCTTCATGCTTGAGAATAAAAAACGTGACTGATGTTAGTGATAGTGAAGTATGGTAGGACTACTGGGATGACTACGCTTCAAAAGCTTCTCTGAACAAGAAGTCCCTTTACATGTTTCTTAAAAACTTCTAAGAAAATTTCCTTTTCAAAAGCCTGTAACTCAAATAAAACTCACGTTAACCTCCATATGTAGCAGCTGCAGATCCTTCCCAAACAGTTCCAGAGCTCACCTAACTGTATCTGTGAGGCAGTGATAATTTCAGCTGTAGCTGGAGTGCTCTAGCAAAATCACTTGCTCACTTTTAAACTGACGTTTCTTAGCAATCGTCACTTCTTAGAGTTAACATTTACTTCTGTGTTTACATATCCCTTTCTAGGTTTTGTTTTAATTTCTACAAGTCATTTCATGTTGGACTGCTCTCCATTTAATGTAGCAGATGGCAAAAACTGCTGAGTAGTAAAGAAAAAGGGCATAAAACCCGGTTTGTATCACGCATGTACTACATGTATTTAAAAAATGGCAGACTTACACAGAATGAAATATTGTTTTTTGTGGAAACTACTACCACAGTTTGAATTGCACAAGTATTCCACTTTTTAATCTCTCAGTTGTCTAGACTGGGCACATAACGCACTTGGCTTTGATGAGATATGAATTAAGGTGCCTTGAAATACCTCAAAACCTCTGTAATACTTTGCAGCAGAGCAAATCTCTTACTGTTGTCCTGCCAAGTACATAGCACTACTAAAAATAAGGACTACTGTTAAAAAAGGCATACTAAAAAGAGCAGGCATATGAGTTGCAGGCTATGGTATTAGTCATAACCTAGTGTTATGTGGGAAAGTCAGCTATTTGTGTGGCTGTTCAACAGGAATGTGACTTCTGAGCTCAAAACTAATAAGTAAGAAAACTCAAGTGACTCCCTCAGTTTTGTCTTGAACTTCACAGAACTAATCTCATCCATTTCCTTTTCCCTGTCAAGAAACAGAAAAAATCTTAATTGTAGGAATGTTATTTCTGTCTCTCCACATGATGCAGTATGAATGAATGCAAAATATGTCTACATGAAGGCACCTGAGCTTGGCTTTAGGTACTAGAAGCAACATAACTACATTAGCATTAACAGGCTCTACAAAAGCCTAGGGAATTAATTGAAGCATGTTGTAGTCACACACCCACCAAAGTC